CCAAAGTAGGCACGATTCCCTGCCATAATGCGTCGTTGAATTTCTCTGCTGGCGGTCACCAGTGAGCCCAAATACACAAACTTGTCGGCCGCCTCGATTTCGTCACCGTCCATCTGAACTCGGGGTAGGAGGCTAACATAATTTTCCCTAGAACCTTTTCTTCTCATGCATTTCGTCTTCGATGCATTGATGGCAAGTCCAATCCGCCTAGCTTCAGTCTTCAGTCTGATGTACGTTTCCGCCATCGTCTCAAAGTTCCGTGTCATGTTGTCGATGTCATCGGCGGATCCAAGATGCTGGATGGACTACCTGAAGATCGTAACACTCGTGTCTATCCCAGCTCTTCTGATCACACCTTCCAACGCGATGTTGAATAGCAGACACGAAAGTTCATCACCTCGAGATTCAAAGGGACTCGAGAGTGTCCCCGATACTCGAACAACGCACATCACTCGATCCATCGTCGTCTTGACCAATCGCGTCAGTTTATCCGGAAATCCGTACTCTTGCATAATCTGCCATAGCTGATCTCGATCGATTGTGTCGTATGTGGATTTGAAATCGATGAACAAATGATGTGTGGGCACGTTGTATTCGTGGCATTTCTGCAGAACCTGCCAAATTTCGGAAATTTTATCCGTGGTAGCGCGGGCACCCATGAATCCCGCCTGGTATTGCCCCACGAACTCTATTGCAAATGGTGACAGATGGCAGCATAGAATTTGGGAGAGTACCTTGTAGGCGGCGCTCAGCAGTGTGATCGCGCGGTAGTTGCTGCAATCCAACCTGTCGCCTTTTCTGTAGATTGGGCATACGACACCTTCCATCCACTCATCCGGTAATATCTTCTCCTCCCAAATCTTGCCAATAACCCAGTGCAGCGCTCTAGCCAGTGTTTCAGCACCGTATTTTAATAGCTCACTTGGTAGTTGATCTACACTAGTTGCTTTGTTGTTCTTCAGCCGACCGATGTCCTCCTCAACTTCTTGAAGATCAGGGGCTGGTAGCCTGTCGTCTTCTGCGCGTGCTCCAAGATCTGTTGCCGTGCCACCTTCGTTTTCTGCTGCATCACTGTTAAGATGCTCGTCATAGTACTGCTTCCACCTCTCAATCACCTCACACTCGTTCGTGAGATGGTTACCGTCCAAGTCCTTGTACATATCGGCTTGCGGCATGTAGCCTTTGCGCGAACTATTTAATTTCCGTGTGTCGTTTACGCGGTACAGATTTTCCATCGCCCCGTGATCTCGGTCTTCCTGCTGACACTTCTTCCTTCGGAAAACCAAGTTTTGTCTGTTCCGCGCTTGTCTGTATCGCTCCACATTCAATCTCGTGCGGTGTTGCAGCATTCTCGCCCGTGCTGCATTCTTCTCCTCTACTAACAGTTTGCATTCGCCGTCAAACCAGTCATTTCTTCGGTCCGGGATCGCAGTACCTAGTGCCGCTGCAGCAGTACTACCTATGGCGGAATGGATGTCCCTCCAACCATCTTAAAGAGTAGCTGCGCCAAAATGCTCTTCCGGGGTAGTGCAACTTCCAGCTTCTACGCGTAATCCTGTGCAACTTCGGCGTCCCGTAATTGCTCAATGTTGGGTCGTGGCGTTCGACTTCGATGGGTGTTATGCACCGTCGAAAGTTTTGAGCGCATGCATACTGCCACTAGGTAGTGGTTCGAATCTATGTTCGCACTGTGGTACGTGCGGACGTTGATAATGTCGGTAGAAGAATTTCCCGTCGATTATAACGTGATCGATTTGGTTTTCTGTGTGTTGGTCAGGTGGATATCCTGGCGGGGCGAAAGGGTACTTCGGACTACCATACCACGGGAGGCTGTAAAGTTCACGCATCGTTGGCCGTTGTCGTTCGATACGGCATGTAGACTGTTTGGTCCGATTGCCGGTCTGTACATTGCCTGCCGTCCTACCTGAGCGTTCATGTCGCCCGTAGTGAACAGCCGTCGTACATCTACTCCAGCTGCGCATAAAACGCTTCTTTCTCGTCGTCGGGTCTCCCTTTGTGTGGGCAGTGCACGTTGATGATGCTGTAGTTGATGAAACGGCCCTTAATCCTCAGCTTGCACATCCTCGCGTTGATTGGCTGCCAACCAATCACGCGTTGGCGCATCTTACCCAGCACTACAAAGCCGGTTCCCAGCTCGTTGGTGGTGCTACAGCTCTGGTAGAAAGTAGCCGCTCGATGCCCGCTTTTCCATACATTTTGTCCCGTCCAGCAAAGTTCCTGCAGTGCTACGACTTCGAAGTTGCGTGGTTGAAGTTTGTCATAGATTAACCTATCGCAACCCTATGTATCGTCGGGGGATCATGATGCACAGCTCTGTTTAGAGTCCCACGCTGGCACTAGGACGGTGACCAGCCGCTCTTAACATGGAGAACAGACGCCGTTTTGAGCCGCACTTTGCTATTGCCCAGGCTACGCCACTCAGCTGTGTCCATGTTTCAGCTGGTAGTCTTTTGTTATCATATGACATGGGGAAGCGTGAGGTAGGAACTTGTGAGGACCAGAGCTAGGTATTCCTCTCCTTCCAGGTTGTTGGCCCACTGCCAACATTGATGGAGACGAATGGCCACCAACACGTTAGCCCACTGCTAACCACTGCCTTTTCACAACTTTCACAATATGTTAGCTCATTGACAACATTAGTATCGATGGATGGCCAACCACATATCAGCCCACTGCTGGTCCGTGACGTGGCGATTGTGTTCACACACTGTCAACCACACGTGAAAATCACGAGGATTTTATTGGCTCACTGTCGACGTCGATGATGATGGTGCTGTGATGACTCACTGCCACCGCACGCACACTAACACTGATGTCGACAAGGCAATCAGCCTGCTGCCGACGCTGGATGGTCGAAACGAATTGGCGATAAAGCTGGGTTTAGACAGGGCAAGTCAATTGATCAAGTCAATTGAATTCAACTGACTTGAACGCGAATTGAACGTGTAAACCATGCCATTCAACTGGCTTGATCAACTCACTTGAATTGAAAAAAGTTGGACCTGGCTCAACTTTTCAAGCCAATTGAATTCAACTGAGTTGATCATTTGACTTGCCTAATCTAAACCCAGCTTAATGGTACACTACCACTACACGCCCGCTAACGAACGATTGCGATGATGCGACTCAGCAAAGCTAGCTTCCAATTCACCCAGCGAAAGCTTCGTCTGCCAAAAATTCTTGCTAATGAGCTCTGAAAAGAACTCAACTCTTTTGTAGGATATAGCGAGCTATTTACACCGAGTGAAAAGAAACCACGCTGTTTCCGAAGGTCGGAAACAAACACACAAAAGGACCGCGAGTGTTGTAAACGCTTCTTGCCGGAGAGTGGCGCGTTGACACGGCTGACGGTGGTGAACGTTAGGAAGTTTCGCTATTGCGAACACAGGTTGTCAAATCACTATTTTGTAGCCCATTGCCGTTAGGCCCTTATAATTCTGAACACTAGATTTGTTACCTGAACAAATAACTGGCATTTCTATCAAATAATCAGGCATTTCATTTGTTTTTTTCAGTCAACTGTAGAAATTCCAAGGGGTAGGTCACTACGCACACCAATCTTGGATCATCTTTTTTATCAGTGTGCCGCAGCTGTGCCGATTCTGCCGGTCACAGAACAAGCTGCGATTGTTTGAAAAATACCCATCCCGGCAACCCGATATTTCTGACACCTTTAATGTTTTGGTTTGAAATCGCAAGGATAAATCGGATTGAGGATGACGCGGAAAGTGGCTGGTGTTGGTGTTTTATGTTCATAGGATGATAAAAGTCCTGTGTTTTAGTCTTCTATAATGCCCTCAAAGGCAGACCAGAAACCTAGCCTTTAGTGATGTGAAAAGCATCGGTCTATCAGCGGCCGAAAAGATGGACTTCTTTAGTTTGTTTTGTGTGATTTGCAGCATTTTTTGAATTAAGGGTACAGATAGGGTCTGATTAACTGCCTCTTTCTCTTGAGCCCACTCTAGAACCTAGATTTCGTATTTAGATATTTTTTATAAGTGAACTGTGAATTTCCTCTGGTATATTCAATTTGAGAATGTTCCTGAATATACAGTCAAATTCCAGTAGTGCTCCCATTTTAATTACAACAATCCAATGCCTACGAGATTGTGTCGAAGGTGTACCCAAGGTATGCCGAAGGTGCGCCGATGGATGTGCCCAAGCTGTGTCGAATCTAATTTCGGCACAATGTGCTGAGTGACTTACCCCTTGAAAAATTCTCCTTGCTTTTCAATAGTATAGGGGCAGGAGGAGTATAGTGAAGCAAATTATGCATCCTGTACGTTAGCCCTAATTTTCTAATTGTTCAAATCAAATTCATTGGTAGATGGTTCAGTATCATGTTGTTATTTATTTGTTTTGAACAAATATACATTTTAGGCTTAAGAACAGGATGCTCATTAAGCCCAATCAGTTCACTATGCCCCTCCTTTCTCTACTATTATCACATTGTTCACCCCCGTCGAAGGGCAACTTGCATGACTCGTTGCAATATCGACATTCCAACCACATTGAAGGTAAGGCATTTAATGAAATATTCAAAACTTTAAATGCAACAATCCTTCTTTGTAAGCATAATTTCTTGCAAGCTTCTAGTTTTTCTGAAAATAAATACTAGCTTATACGCATGGATGCATTATTTTATTCTGTGTGGTTTTATCAAACCTCCGCATATCATTCTGCTTTTATATTGTTCTCTAAATTATATGGAGGAAACTAATGTCACGACATTTTTCCCCACAACATTTTCATGACATTTACCACCTCTGAGCTGGGAGCTAAAATGTAATTCTGAAAAAATCCAACACTGGAACCGTCGTCGTACCAAAACAAAGCAATCACAAAAAAATACACTGCTCTACCTTTGCCTGGTGCCGTGTGTGTGTGTCGCGTTGTGTTGTTATTATTATTGTATAAATACAATCTACATGCTTGCTAGCGGATGGTACACAAACAGGCGCAACGAAACGAGAAGAGCTGCTACTTGGATGGAACAAAGAAAGACTCGCTTCCTTCAGTCGTCCGTCGGCCAGCAAAGGTGGAAGTAGCTAGAAACTAGAAAATAAAAAGCCATACACCGTCCAGCAGCAGGAGGAGCAGAACCCTACTGGAGCCCCAAGACATTTGGATTTAAAATTTGAGTTTTCCATCCCCAGTTAGAGTGTGCTTCGACTGGGAGAACTTTTCTTTTCGATTTGTGCAGAATATACCTAGTGTGAGCAGTCATTTTCGGATCCGAGGGAAATGAGGAATTACACTCGAGTCAGTCACCACGAAGTAAACGCGTAGAAAGTGTTTGTGTGTTTTGATTGCGAAACAGTCTATGGTGCGTGATTTTCCGAGCTGAACGCTGAAAGGGGAAACCTCTGAAAATAGGCAAAGTGAGTGCGAGATTTTCCTGTTTGTTAGAAAAGGTTTCCAGCTAAGGGCGACCTAGGGGAAACCGAGTACGGATTGAGGGTAAAGCGCAGTGATCCGATTAATTTTTTTTGTAAAATATTATTCTAAAGTTATTTTTAAGTTTCTGTAAGTGATTCACTACTCGTCAGGAGGGAAAAGAAGTGATTTTCCTCGACGAAAGGGAGCCAATCATCGGTTGATGGTGTAAAATAAGAAAAGAATAGTAGAATCAAGTGCACAGTGTGTTGATCGTTTCTACGAACACAATCACACAGCCCAGACAATCAGTGTTGGGTTGGTGTTATTTTGCTTTACATTCATGCACACCGACCCGTGGAAAGAGCAAAGCGTGGAAAGTTTCTTCAATAAATAAATAAAAAAAACAAAACAAGTGAGCTAACGTGAAACAAAACCAGAGGCAGCTGAGTCGGGTTGGCCAGCAAAAAATCGAACAGCTGAGAAACCTTGAAATTAAATTCGTCGGTGTGTCCGGGTGGGTGAAGCACACAGAAGAAGAATCAGCGAAAAACAGACGGAAGAAGCGTGACAGAGAAGAAGAAAAAGAAGAAGACCCAACTGGACGAACGGGGTACCAGCAGCGATCAGATTAGCCGCAGCCATGCCGTGGTACGCTCCGTGGTCAAATGTGATCAAGAAGAAAGTGTGTCGCTTCCTGCTGCAGCGATACCTCGGCCAGTTCATCGAGGAAAAGCTCAGCTTGGACCAGCTGAATGTGGACTTCTACAATGGCACCGGGACGGTGTACGACGTGACGCTGTACTGCCAGGTGAGTGACAGTTTCTAGTTGTTTCGCCGATTATTTCATGACTGAGCTAGGGAGGAATCGGTGTTTCCCCTTGCTTCGGGAGTAAATCCATTTTATCATGGAAACCATGACCTGGGGTGCGTTGGACATTGTTGTACGTTATTTAAATGTTTTGTACAGAAATTATGTATGGTTAGTATGCTTAGTCTGTATATATATGGTCATGTCCAATTAAGATATGCTTTGAGAAACCAAATTAATGTTTTGTGTCAATGATTTCCAATGGGAACAGGTAGAAACAAAAAAAAATAGAGACATGTTTTAGGGGCACAAGAGTGATCTTGTCGTAAGACTATGAGAATTTCTTTCGCGCACTATAGAGACTTAGGCCGTGCATATCTTAAGTTCGATTTGTGGGTTGGTTTTGGTATCTGGAATTGTTATCCGCGTTAGAGTTATTGCTTCGACGAGAGAGCAGAGTTCCTACATATGCAATTGTTCAAACGTTAGGGTTAGTATCTCGGTATATGTAATTGATGCCTATGCAGATCCGCACGTGAGTTAGCAGAGTTACCAAAACTACAGATAAATCTGTAGTTCTACAGATTTTTCAGAGTTTTTAAAACCAGGATTCTGTATTTACAGATTACAGATTTCTAGGATTTTAACAGATTTCACAGATTTTTAAAAATATGATCAAAAATTTAATAAATTAAACTTGAGATGTTTAATAACAACACATTATTTTCACTTCAGTGTAATTTTATCGTCACAAACTTTTATATCTATGCATGCTTTTTTGCGGAATGAAAAAGGAGAAAGAGAACTGTCAGAGGTATTCCTTTTTTGCCAATTTATGATACATATATTTTTATCTATTTTTTGTCTTTGTCAGAAAAAATGCTCAATCACTTTTCAAATTACATTTTTTAAGGATTCAAATAATAAATTATCAACACAGATATCAGCACAGATTTTCTGGACAAAAGCTAAGATGAAAAGATTTTTTTGGACAAAAACACAGATTTCCTTTTGCAACCCTGTAGGTGAACTCAATTAATGAGATTTGAGAATGGTTTTCCGAACACTGGCCATCACTTTCAAAGTCGGGAAGAAAATCATATCATAATTAGGATCCCGGACCTTCTTCTAATTGCATGACGGATGTCTACTACATGAAAATACCTGGATAACCGGAAATCCTCAGGGAATTTAATTTTTCTTGAAAAAACCTGAAATTCTCAGGGAATTTCATCATTACTCAGCGAATTTTCTGATTTTCATGCTATGAAGATTTTTAATGAAATGATTGCATTCTATAATCTATAATGAACAATTTAATTTTTACAGATTTTGTACTTGATTTTTTTTATATTCTGGAGCCATGCTTGGAGAAATTTTCAGGAATATGTAACGATGATGTCAGACATTGAACGTTTTTCAAGTAGATAGATTTAAAAATAAAATCGACATTAAGCGGAAGCATACCGCACCGAAAAAAAAAAATGAGTTTCGATTTTTCTAAAATTATTGGAAAAAGATATAAAAAATCTAAAAATAATCACATATTTTTGTATTTTTTAAAGAAAATTCACGTGCAAAAATATTTTTTGTAATTTATCATGGCATAAAGTTTGACTTCATTGGAGAATACCATGTAAGATCTGAGTAAAATTCTGAGTAGAAAAAACGCTGAATAGGATATCAGGATATTAGATAAAATTTTAATGATAATTCATAAGAATTGTTGAGGTTAATTGCTAAGGAATTCTGAGCAAACTTGGAAGAGAATTCTGACGAGGACTCCAAGGCGATTCAAAGGAGAAATCCAAGGAAACTTGAAGGATAATTTCAAGAATTTTCTTGGAGTAATATAGTCCGCAGCATAGTTCCATGGGAATTTTCGGTGAAATCAATTAAATCTGAGAATAATTCATGGAGAACTTGAAAGGAATTCGAAGAAGAATTTCAAGAGAATTCTGACTTCAATGCCAAATATTTGTGAGGAGAACTGCAAGTAAATTTTTAGGAGAATTTCAAAGTTGTGACTAGAATTCCAAGGGAAGGAGCACAATTCTGAGAATAGTTCCAAAGATTTTCATATAAGTATTATAAATATTTCAAGAAGTTTCCAATGAGTATTCCGAGGATATTCCGGTGATAATGTTTAGAGAATTATAAGGAGAGTTCCACAGAAATTCTGAGGCGCATTTCAAAGAAGTTGAACAGAATTCAAAGGGATATTCCATGAAAATTTCGCGAGAACACTAAGTGAATGTTGCGGTGAACTCCAAGTGAATTTTCAGAAGAATTATTTGGGAAATTCTTAGGTAGAACTGCAAGAATTATAAAACACATTGAAGAGCATTGCAGAGTGTTGTGTTGTGTTGTGCTGAATATGGAGCAAATTTTAAGAGAATAGGATAGAGCGCTACTTTATCGTAGTCGCCCATTTCCGTTCTATCGAACAGAAAACTTCAATAATATCAATGATTCCACCGTGCAAAAATAATACGTTTGTTTCGATGCTATAGTTAACAAGTTACAACACAAAGCCTATTAGAGCGCATTGTATGAATATTTACACTCATTGTTCTCAAAACAAAAGAAGTGCTCCTAGCGAATCCACTTTTTCTACTTTCATTCGTAGGATGAAGACAATCTAATTGCGTTTCAATGCATTAGGAACTGCGAAATTGAAACTCGACACGAATTTGGAATCGAGATGCAGTGTTAGATATTTAACAATATCTCAATGCATAGTTGAAGATGCTAATTTCAAATAACAGACTAAAGTGGTAATTTTTATACGATAGATAAGGAGATGAAAGTATAGAGTTGATAGTTCTGTTAGAGTACGGCAGTGTGAAAATTGTATATAGAGAGTAGAAAGCGAGCAAGCACAGCAAGACAAGGATAGGAGCACATTCTGTGGTAGAGGTAACAATAGCTGCAATTTCCAAACCTACGACTGGATGCCTTCCTTCAGATCAGTGCTGAGATTTGTCATTGTCATTGACAGACTTTTGCGCGATATTGACAAAATTGTTCGTCACATAGTCACTGACAGACTTGATCCTCAAAAAAACCTTCGTCAAAATCTCATTAATTTTTTCGTCAATGACAAAGATTCCCCTGGTAACAAAAAGTGTAGTTTCGTACATTCTGTGTCACATTATTGTTATCCAAGTAGTTCAGGACGTAGATGCTTGTTCACATTAACGGCTCCATGTAATTATGTTGCTCAAGTTATTTTATTTCGTTACAAATTTAGTTGATATAAAAATCTAAACATGTTCGTCACTGACAGCATTGTCGTTGACAATTGACATGGTTTGCCTCAGTGGCGTCGCCCTAACCTCATTCTACCTGTTCAACAACTCTCAAAACGTAAACAAACAAAACAATATTGGTTCAAATGGATACAAATCAGTCAAACTAGAGGACCCTGTGTCCTTTGAAATTGATTTGAATGTAAACATGACCCTAAATAACGTTTTCAAAGTTGTTGAACAGGTAAAAAGTGAGGCTACGCGACGCCACTGGTTTGCCTTGACTATGACTGTTAGCTAATATGAGTGACCAAAGCAGAATTGTCAATATCATCGTGTATTGTCGAGATTTTGCAGCACTGCTTCAGATAACAACTTGAGTGCGGTAAAAATCGATAGAACTGTTTCAAACACATCGTCGGTACATGAGTGAGTCGGCGATCATCTCTTCTTGCCAGTGGTGGCGGGGGGAATACCCCTCACCATCCCTCTCCAACTGGGGAGTTTGGTAAAGAGAGATGATCTAACCGATTTGTACCTTCATTCATAAAAGTTGTCCTTGCTCGCTTTCTACTCTCTATATAAACAATTTCACACTGCCGTACCTTTCATCTCCTCATCTATCGTATAAAAAATACCACTTTAGTGTTTTATTGTTATTAGCATCTTCAACTATGTAAATCGTTGACTTCACGCAGAAGTAATACAAAACATATAGTCAAAGTAATATCTCAATAATTTGTGACCTCGTCGTAACGTGAATAAATTTAAAAGTCAATTTTAATTGAAACATTAATGAAAAGCGCGGTTTTTGCTTAGTACGACGGAAATTTGATCAAATCCCTACCAGAAAGAGGTCTAAGATGAACTCGGAGGATATCCTATGATCACAGACAAACGGACATAACACATTGAATATTTATCACAGTAAAACATCGTCGGTAAAACATTACTGCCATCTTTTGAGTACACTGTGGTTTGCACTACGCTGAACAGATGGCGGTAGTGTGTAAATGTCAAACGCAAGGGAATTGATTATGCGCGCCACAGGTGTTGGTTCTACCAACTACTATACTTTTAAATTGACCGTTAAATGCTTGTTCGATGAACAACTTGCGAGTGGCATGTCTGTTTGTCTGTCAATGGTTTCAAGATGAATCAAACATAGAAACATTTATGAGATCCTGGACACAAAAAATAAATCAAGATTCGGCCTTTAAAAAAAAAAATATGCGGCTTAGATTTTATTTTTTGAGATTTTATGCAAAATTGGAGGAATTTTACTATCAATTCAATATTTCGGAGACGAACCAGCCCAGGGCTGAAATTCACCTTAATAAAGATTTATATATAAAAAAAAAAAAAACGATATCCAGGGCATGGAAAAATTTCCTAAATTCTTGAACAATTGAAATGCCAAACTTCGATCATTAGAGCTTTGAAATGTTTTTAAGGTTGCGAACTTAAATTTATTGAATTATTTGTAAATGAGTCCCATACAAATTGGAATTCCACAGGACACAGATTGAAGGTCCTTGATCCAAAATGTTTGTGGTCGATCAAGTCCATAAGAGGCTCGTGATTATATCTCTGAAGATTATCTACGATGTTTTCGAATTCATGCCGTAGGCTATCTGAAGTAGATCGATAAGGCTTCTAGATTTAACTACATACTGACCTGCATAAACTTTTGTTTTGCTCCAAAAGATGTGTGATGCTCACTCTTAAGACCATTGAAGTTGAATATTA